ACTTACTGTTGGCTTACGAGGACTGCAGTTTGGATTCAACCCAGCTGTCACTGGCCTTACAATTGTCATTGTAATCCCAGCACTTTGGGAGGCCGAGGTCAGGAATTCAAGGCCTGACCAGCATGGAGAAACCCTGTCTCTACTAAAAAAACACAAACTTAGCCAGGCATGGTGGTGCATAGCTGTAGTCCCAGCTACTCCGGAGGCTGAAGCAGGAGTATCGCAATACATCTTTCCATCCCCACTCCCCTTCCCCAGTAGGATCTTTTCTTAAATGTACGGTGGTATAATTAAAAATGAATTATTTCAATGAACCAAGGAGTGTTACAGAAAACCAAAAATGTTCCAGAGCGAAGAAAAATCAGAGCCAAGAACAATGCATTGAAATTCATCAGGAAACCTTGCTACTTTTGGCATATTTGTTTTAAATGTCACTATTTGAAATGTATTACAACAATCAGCAATTTGGTGTGAAGCTTGAAGGATGTAGAGCCATCTGTAATGCTTTGGAAATGTTACAAAATGAGTGAAAAAAAACATTTTAAGGAGGAATTCTCAAATATTCCCAATGTTTGGCTTTTTAATGGAGCTATTGATAACCTTGTTATCTAATAGAGTTATGACTATAGAATGCATTAAACTTCTTGGCCATAGCCAAATGGGTGAAACCAGAGATGGGATACACAGTGTACTTGATAAAAATGCTGTCTGTTTAAAGTGTTAGAGTAGCTATTATGTTCAAGTACAAAATTTTGATCCTCTCAATAAACTTAATCTAGGAAGAATAAATGTTTTAGAATGTTTTTAAATTTCACTAGGACACAGGGTACTTTCAGAGTTTGTACTTAAGATAGTGTCACATGTAATAGCTGATTTTGAAAGATTCACACATAATAAGTTCTGGGGTTGGTTCTGTGATTTTTTTTCTATTATTGCATACTTGTGTCTAAGGATGTGGAGTGAGGGCATTTGTATGTGATTTTTATTCAGAAAGTTGAAAATGAAAAAGTATTCGAGTCATCGTAGTAATATTATTTCTGTCTGTATGACATCAGAGGTAAGATTTTAATGTCATCTCAACCAACAACAAACTGTATAACCTCAGACACCTTTAACCTCTCCAAGACTGGAAATGGAGGATCATGATTATCTAATTTGCAGAATGCTTGTGAGGATTCAGAAGAGTATGTAGGATTTATTTTTTTCTGTATAGTTTAGTGATTTAAAATAAGTTAAATAGTCTAAACTGAAACAATATTGTGCATTGTAAAATGTGCAAACATGCAGAGTTAGGCAAAGATTCAAATAGTGCTAGTCCCTAGCACTAAAGTATGTAGGAGAAATAAATTCCTAATCTTTGATACATAAATAAATTTTATTTCCTTTCTCTTTTTTATGAAAAACATGTTATACACATATATGAGTACATTGAAATAATGCAATATAAAAGTGCAACATTTATGGGAGGTATAGATTGCCTCAGCTAGAAGGAATTTTAGAAATTATCTGGTTCCGTGATTCTTAGCATCTGTTTGGTTTATAGACAACTTTGAGAATCTGATGAAAGACATGGTGTTTCTCCCCCACCCCAAAAATGCTTCTACACACAAAAATTAGTACATAATTTAAGGGGTTCAAAAACCCTCTGACTCTCAAACTTAATACTCTTCATCTAAAAATGGAGAAATTAAGAAAGATAAGTGATATGCTGTTGAGGCTTAAAAGTTATTTTGAAGACATTTTTTGACAAAGATTTTGTTTCTGAAGACTTTTTCTTTAAGAATTTCAGAACTAAACACTTATCAGTTATTTGAGAAGTGTTCTCAGACTACAGCTTCATCTTATCGTGAGCATGCATTCTTATCCACCCTCGATGTGTTAGATACAGGTGAGCTCTTTGCAATCCCATGCAAAGTTAAAAATTTGGGGTATTGATTGAATTTTTTTAACATTCTTTTCTTCCCATAATTATTCTGCTGCATTCTCAGTAAACATTCATTAAATACCTGCCATAGTCCAAAGCCTGCACAAGATAACTGTATGAATGAGACTCAGTTTCTGACTTTGATCTAGTACAGTTTAGCAACAGACTCATGAGCCTGTAATAGGGGAGCTCAAAGAGAGGAGCAACTCATTTAGCCCCAGAACTCTGAGAAGGTCCAATTTTAAGTAGCATTAAAGTAGAACCTTGAAGCAGAGTAGCAGTTTGTCAGCCAAAGATTCAGATAGCCTAACTCCGCATGTTTGCAGATTTTACAATGCACAATTTTTTTGTTTACTTTAGAATATTTAACTTATTTTAAATCACACTTATGTGGCAATGTACTTAGTGCTAAAATATATGGGATGGTGCACTGAAGACCCATTGCCTAACTTCATCAACCGTGCATCATCATTCTCTGAGCCATAAGGTCTCTAAACATCAGAGTCATACTCCTCTCTGGCCTGCAAATTCTAACCACTCAACAGTGTCTCACAAATTATTCCTTTGGAGTGTCTATGCATCTTTCCCTTCTTTTCTATTCCTGGTATCATCTTTCCATAGTTCACTATTCTACTAAACCAGACCCTCAGGATCCATGTCACACACTTTCACCAATCCTTGTTGGACACAACCACCAAATGCATTTTTCCTAAAATTAATTTATTCTGAGGCCCTGCTAATAAACATTTGCCCTTGGTTATTCATAGGATATAGTCATCTCATCTACTTATTATTTTACTTAAAGTCTGCCATAATCACCCATCATTCTTAGCACATTCTTACTTCAGCCAGGCAAGTACAAGAGCCCACATCTTCAAGTCTCACCTTCACTGCTTTTTAGCTGTTGCATTTATCTCTTTGAGCATGTTTCCTTGTCTATGAGTTACATGAATAAAAAGCAAAGTTGCTAGGAAAATTTGTGGCTAACATGTGAGAAGTGCCTTGGCTTGTGCCTGACACATACTTGGCTCTCAAGAAAATGTAATGTTTCTTTTTTTTGAGAAAGAGTTTCCCTCTGTCACCCAGACTGGAGTGCAATGGTGCCATGTTGGCTCACTGCAACCTCCGCCTCCCTGGGTTCAAGCGATTCTCCTGCCTCAGCCTCCTGAGTAGCTGGGATTACAGGTACCTACTACCGTGCCCAGATAATTTTTGTATTTTTAGTAGAAATGGGGTTTCACCATGTTGGCCAGACTGGTTTCGAATTCCTGACCTCAGGTGATCCACCCGCCTGAAGCTGTAACATTTCTAACAGTTGTTATTATCACCTTCCTCCAAAATGCACCCCATCTGGGTCATACAATATTTCTTCTCTAAAAATCCCTCCTCCTCTTCCCCAGGTCATTTGTTATTTCTTTAAAACCATACTTCAGGCTTACCTTCCCCTGATGTCTCCCCTAGACCTGCATTTCAGCAGTCTTCCCTCATATTTCCTGCATCACCAATAGGTTTGCCTCATGTTGCTTCCAAACTTTTCCTAGGGGCCTTCTCTTCCTGACAAAACTAGAACAGCTAGAGCGGCCCCCAAATTAAGTAGGTTGTCATGCAAAGTCATGAGCCTCCTTGACTTCACGCTTGTTTGAGGATGTTGAAATGTTCATGAAACAGATGAAACGTTTGATCATTCATGTCTACGGATCTTTTCAGTAGTGATTTTCTGATTCTGAGTTGAGATTGGAAGTTTGTCTCATACTGCCTCGTACTTCCTACAGCCAACAGCATTGTAGGCACACTTGACTATTGGGTGTTTCACACTGATTTTTCTAAAGAATTGTAATTTTTTAACCTTGTCACAGAGGAGCAATGGCTTTCCATTCTGTAGGGGAATATAGTAGGAAGTACATATGGCTTAAGGATTGAGGGATGTGAACCCACATCAGTACATTGCACTGTGTCAGAGCTACATTGAATGTATAATGAATATTTAATGAATAAGCACCGATCATAAGCAGTGTTTCACTGCATCATTTTACATCCCTTGAGAATACGTTAGAACAGAGCAACTGAAAGGGTCTCCTCCAAATTTAAGGCTGAAGTTTTAGGAAGAAGTAAATCAAGGGAAAACTGTTGCAGGAAAAAAAAAATGGCCTTTATGTTCCCCAGAACAATCTCTTTTACTGAAAATTTGATTTTCTTTCCTCACAGTCTCCTTACTGGGCAAAGAGAAAGAGCCTATGAATCCCAGACAACATTTATCTTTAATGTCCTTATTGGGAACTGATCTTTACATTGTTTTGAAACAGTTTCATTACACAGGGCCTCTTTAATTTCTGCCAGCTTGCTGAATCTTAGAAAATAACTACTTTGCCTTCTCTGTAGCAGAATTTCAGGTAACTACATTTAATCTTATTGTGGTCTCCCCTTTTTATACCAGTTCAGCCTACTGCTGAAAGAACCTTCAGCTTCAAAGAACACTTCTGCCTTCCTTCCCAACAACCCCCTCAGTTAGAAGGTGGAGTGGGATGGTGGCTGGGAAATAGGGAGGAAATCAGTCAATTGCCAGCTGTCAGAGTTGTTGTAGGTGACTTTGTACTTCTTGAATTTAAGATCAACATGAACTATAGACATTTCAGGCTGGGAGTTTAAATAGCAACAAAAAAGCATGGGTTTTGCTAATGCCAGGAATGACTCATCTGGTGAGAATGGTATTGTACTGATAATACAATACAGAGAGAAAGAAAAGACTGTGGTATCTGCTCTCTTTGTGTTGCTGACCTTGAGGAGAATTATAACTTGTTTGTTGCAGAAGTTGAGCATCTAATGTGCTGATGCACCTGTTCTTATATATTAAATGGCAAAGCACTTGCAGTTCCCTGTCATTGCTTTGTGGGTGAAATATTTTCTGCAATCTGGTGAACTGTTTTTTTTTTTTTTTCCTAAATAATGTATTCATTTGTATTTCTTGTATTTCTTATTTCTTATTCTATTTCAACATTCTAGTCTCATCATTACGTCTTCAAAGATGTTTGGCTTTTTATTTTCAAGGTAACATGATTATGATTTTTTTTTCATATAGAGACCATGAGCCAAGCATCTCCTGCTAGAAAGCTGGAAGAGATTCTTCATCTGGCAGAGCTCTGCATAGAAGTCTTACAGCAGAATGAAGAGCATCACGCAGAGGTGACGACCTGTTTTCACTGTAGTATAAAGCTATATGTAAGGCTTCGCCATGGTGGTGGCTACACTGAATAAGTGGCCTGCCCATAGTCTTGATACATATCTGAATATTTAATGAATAAGCACCAATGATAAACAGTGTTTCACTGCATCATTGTACATCCCATTGCACATTCACATATGAAAACATATGTGAATTTTCTAGAAACCTAACTCCTATATATTATAAAACAATTGCGTGTGTATATAATTTCATTTTTATTCCTGACAACAAACACTGATGGGATCTGTGCCATGAGAACTTAGCTCATCAGTTATTGAAGAAGGGGGAAAGTTAATGACCACAAGAGAACTTACAATGGCCCTAAGGCAACTTTCAGAGCTATTCTGCAGGAAGAGATTTTTATTTCCCAAACCAAGGGGTAATTTCCACTGGTAAATTCCACTTTGCTTTTTTTTTTTTTTTTGGTTCTGTATTGGCTGTCTCATTGTTAATAGCAAGACTGCAGCATCAAAGGAAAGAAATCTCACTCTGTTTCTCTCATAATTCCATAAATAGTTTGCCTGCCTTTCATTGAGGGCAGTTAGTTAACATTGAATGCAGTTAGTTAACAGCAAGGGCTACAGAAAAGTCCTGTAATTAATCAACCTGCATTGCCTTCAGTCCGAATGTGTTACTGGTAAGAGTCAAAGATAGAACACAAACCCGTCTTACAGTGCTGCATCACGTGCTTTTCCCCCTATGCCATGATTGTTTTGGTTTAGAAATGTAAGTTAACGTGAAAGGGGAAATTCTGTGATACACTATAAAACAAAAATTTAGTAGAAGACATTCATAATTGTATGGTTGATAGCTCTAGGCTTTCACTCTTAATATGAAACTTTTCACTTTTTAAAATTAATTTTTCATCAAACCTGGATTGTTTATAATTTTTTAAAGTTCTAATTACATCTTAACATTCACTAAAGATCTGGAGTGGCTTTTCACCAGGCAAACTGCTTATTCTGAGACTTAAATTGTCACTCTTTCTAATAGCCATGAGTTTATTAACAAAAATGAAGGAATTTTCTGACTTTGAATTGGGCGGGGAGAATGTGTAGCATTAAATAAATATAATAAATGTCAGTGCCCTGACAGTGCTTTTATTCTTGAGGAAGCACATGAAATGAGCAAGAATAAAAAAGACCAAATACATATGAGTTTACAGAATTTTTGTATTTAATGAAGCCTAGTTCTAAAAAATCTAAGAAACCACAGGAACTACATTTTAAGCCAATTCATAGAAAAGAGTATTCATGAATCCTTACTATAGGTAACTAAGATTTATTGTATCTGGTTATAAATATGATATCTGGTTATAAATATGATCATTCAAAACATCTGCTTTTAGCTCACACTGTGGAATCTAGTTTTCAGCTTGCATCTGTCATGTGTGAACTTGTTATGGATATTTTATTTTAAACTGAAGAAACAGCTGCTTCAATAATTTGAAATGAATTCCCAGGAGGTTCTTTTCTAGGCTGGTACCACAGCTATGTTACAATGAAAGTGATTATGCAATAAAATATATGTATGTTTTGTCTTTGTCTTTTGTTAAAAGGCATTATTATCAGAGTATTAGGATTTTTTGAATTAAAAAATCTATTAATAATTGGATATTCAATTGCAGTGTCTATTTCAGCAAAGCAGGTATATCTAATATTCTCAAATATTTTACAAAAACTAAAAATTAAATGTTAATTATACTTCGTGCAATCACTAAAATGCTTATCAAAGTATAATGTATCCAAACACAATTAAAATGTATATATTATTTACTAACCCACAAAATACAGTTGACTTTATTAAATAGAGATAATCATTATTCATAAATATCACTATACTATATACTGAAATATAGGACTATTATGATGACCTTTTTTAAAAATGTTTTGTAACACTATGGCAATTGTTCTACTCTGCAATGCTTCCAAATTCTTGGAAACCCTCAGGGAAGAGAGGTGAGTAAAATGATTTCCACTATTTTATTAGCATAGGATGCCTCTTTTATGTGAATTTAAATACAATCTACTCTGATTGTAGTTCATTTTAAAGCCAATTAGTCCTTTCTTTGAAATTGCAGAGTCTGTTTTTCTTTGTGCTGATTTTTGTTATACTGTTTTGTGCATGTATCTTATTAATAATTGCATGCATAGTTACTGATGGTCATCTAAGTAAAACATGACTGAAGGGATGTTGATATTTGGTTTGTGTCTTTGGTTGTTTTATGTCCTTAAAAAAAAAAAAGAAAATCTCACATTTTTTCTGAACAATATTGGGGAGTGAATTTGTCTGATTCCAGACTGACTTCCAGAGTGAATTGGTGGATTGCATTCTGCACTGATACTTATTTTGCTGTATGTTCAAGCTAGAGTTCCTTTGCTCCATGAAAGAGCACCTGGCTCAGCTCCCGTGGTGGAGGTTAATGTATCTGTCTCAAAGAGACCTTCAAGTGGCTCGCATGTCAGCTCCCTTTATTTTCATTCTCCCTCTCTCCACAGTGGCAGTTTACTTTTCAGGGCCAAGAGGTTGTTTCTATCCTTCAGCAATTTCTCAGTTAAGCAGGTTTCATGTCCTTTAGATCTTTGACAGTAACTTCTTAGGCAGTTTTCCCTTCTCTTTGAAGGCCTCTCAACCTCTCTTCTCAGGCTTTTCTGCAAAATTCCTACGTTTTCTCCTTAGAAAGATTGTTTAAGTTCCTTTCCAGAAAATCTTTAAGGCTGCCTCCACATTTCAGTGACCAGACCGTCTCTGACCAGATATTTTACGCAAACTGATCTGACCACTCTCCATCCAAAAGCCCCTTGCTTTGACAGAGCTAGGAGGTGTCAGATCCCTGCTGGAAAAGCCATAGTCCCTCACCATTACACCCCTCCACACTATTATAAGAAAGCAGACCCAGGAAAGTTGAGCAACTTGCCAGAGGTGCACAGCTAGTGAGTGACTGGGTGAAGACTCAGGACAGACTCCAGACCTGGATATTTTCCAATAAACCACATTGCTTGCAATTTAAGTAGAATGGCAGGAGTGATTGTCCTGCCTTGGTTCTGCTGACAAACTTGAACCGCAGCATTGCAACAGGGATGTAGATGCATGGGGTAGTGATCACAGTGCAAACCTGGTGATGTCCCTTTCCATTCTGTCATTCTCTTCTTTCCTTGTACCCTGGTATATATCCAAGGACTCTGCCTAAGGGGGATGGATGGAGTGCTGAGAATATCTGTAGAAGGGCTGAGAGGGAGGGACTATGAAAAATATGAGCACAACTCAAGTCATTACTTGGTTGCTTATTATTACAGCAAAATATTGACTTAAGATCCTTAAAATATTTTAAATACAATGTAATCCCCCATATCCCTTCCACCATAGGCAAGAAGGTTGTTTGGCAGTAGTTTGGTATTTGTAATGCAGACAGCTCTCAGTTCACTGCAAATGGTTGATTCATTTACTAGGCTGCTTCAACAAGAGCCTGGACAGTGAGAGTTCAGTGTGAACACACATATTTGTGTATATGTGCATTCCCCTAAACATCAGTATCTGAACCAAATTATGCTTCTGTTTGGATTCTAATGTAAAGAGAAAGGGTATTTAATTTTTTTAAATTTATTTTTGTTTTTGTGTATCCTTATTCCTCTCCAACTGGCATGCATGCCTGCCTAAGAAATATATTGAAGTGTTGTTATACAAAAGAATTGACCATGAACAAAATCGATGTCCTGTCTACTAACTAGATTACAATAGTCTCAACAGTTGAAATGACCTCAATTACACATGGTTTATATCTGGATAGTCAGTGAGATAAACCTTTTTTAGGATAGGTTTAAATTTAAAATTATATTAGCCTCTGGACCAACAAATAGCCCTCATCTGGGAAGAAGATGACCAGCAAGTAACTTGCATATGGCTCAGGTATAGAAGTAGAATTCCCTTTTCAGCAATGACTCTCAAAACCAATCGCATGAGCATGAATGCTCTACCAAAAATGTTTGTTCATTATTTACTGATTTATAATATATATGAATGAGGATAATACTTTACATTCTCTCATGTTTTGGAGCATTTTCAGCTCATCATCTCACTTGGTTATTGCTACATCTGTGCTTATCAACCTGATTATCAGTGAATCACAGGAGTTGTAAAAAACTTATGATTAGACAATAGGTGTCACCTGTTCATTCTGTCTGTCCCTTAAGAGAACTTAAATATTTTAAGAATATGGCCCTCAGAATCATGTCCCTATATATGTGAATATGTGTGTATGTGTGTGTCAGGGGCAGGGGATACTATAGACACTGGATTGTCTCTAAAGCCTTTAGGATCATCTACAAGGTACAGAATTGCAAACTAATCTTGTCTTGGGGAATAAATAGGCACAATATACGTTTCAAAGTCAGACTCAGTGTTTTTGCTCATTTAGGCAGCCATCCTCCTTTTTGTTTTAAATTATAAATTTTTATTATATTTTGAGGGTAAAAGTAATCAAGGCCAGGTGCGGTGGCTCACGCCTATAATTCCAGTACTTTGGGAGGCTGAGGCAGGTGGATCTCCTGAAGTCAGGAGTTCAAGACCAGCCTGGCCAACATGGCACAACCCCATCTCTACTGAAAATACAAAAATTAGCTGGGCATGGTGGTAGGCACCTGTAATTCCAGATACTTGGGAGTCTGAGGCATCAGAATTACTTGAACCTGGGAGGCAGAGGTTGCCGTGAGCCAAGATTGTGCCACTGCACTCCAGCCTGGGCAACAGAGCAACACTCTGCCTCAAAAAAAAAAAAAAAAAAAAAAAAAAAGTTATCAAAAGCCTCAGGCTTTAATAAAAATTAGAAAAGATATAAAGAAGTCAGACCATAAATCAAAAGATATTAACAGTGGTCTGATCAGCTAAGGATAGATGGATGGATGGATGGATGGATGGATGGATGGATGGATGGAGAGAAAGATGGCAATGTGCCATATGTGTCTCTCTTAAGAATACACTATATGTGTAAGAACTTGATCTCTAGACTCCAGCTGACTTAGATTCAATCACTGCTTTGTTATCTACCAACTATATGACTTTGGGCAAGTTATTTAATCCCTGTTTGCTAACCTATAAAGTAAGGCTATTTGTACCATCTACCTGAAATAATTGTTTGGGGGATTAAGTAAGATGATGTTTATAAAACCTTTAGAACAGTACTTGGCACATAAACACCATTTAATTCATGTCGGACATTATTTTTAAAACACATAAACTCACATAAGATTTATATGAATTTCGGCCGGGCGCGGTGGCTCAAGCCTGTAATCCCAGCACTTTGGGAGGCCGAGACGGGCGGATCACGAGGTCAGGAGATCGAGACCATCCTGGCTAACACGGTGAAACCCCGTCTCTACTAAAAATACAAAAAACTAGCCGGGCGAGGTGGCGGGCGCCTGTAGTCCCAGCTACTCCGGAGGCTGAGGCAGGAGAATGGCATAAACCCGGGAGGCGGAGCTTGCAGTGAGCTGAGATCCGGCCACTGCAGTCCAGCCCGGGCTACAGAGCAAGACTCCGTCTCAAAAAAAAAAAAAAAAAAAAAAAAAAA